CAGCGCTCTCGCGGACTCCGAGTGACGACGTTCCTCCTACCTTCCAGGAACATGCCCGTCAACTTGGACTGCTGGCCGACGATGTGGAAGCCACCGCTGCCCTCGCTGAAGCTTGCAGAATCGTGCGCAGCTTGCCCCGCATCTGCGAGATGTTCGCCCAGTTCCTGGTGTGGCTTGATGTGAACAGCAAAGTTGGTTTCTGGACGTCCTTCCTACACATTTTGTCGGAACACCACAAGGCCGTAGATCCATCCACCGTCTACCGTGCCGTCGACGAGAGTCTGGCCTTGCACGGCTGCACTCTGGCTGCGTTCGCCGTGCCGCCCCCTTCGCCAGACGCTGCGCTTCAGCCCGCGGAACGCGCCGCGCAAGAGTGCATGCGGGAATTGCGCGCGCCCGCGGAGCTCTGCAAAGAAAAACACATGTTCGAGCAACTTACTCTCAACGACGACCAGCAAGCGATATTCAATTTCGTCCAAGCGAGGGTAGACCAGGCCACGAATACCGATGACGCCAACATTGTGTATATTGATGGCCCAGCGGGAACCGGGAAGACGCACATATACAAAAAGATCCTACACTACGTCCGGATGTCTGGTCGTATCGCTCTAGCGGTGGCCATGTCCGGTATCGCAGCCTTGCTGCTCCCTGGAGGTCGTACTGCGCACTCCCGCTTCCGATTGCCCGTGCCTGTTCCGCTTGAAGGCTGCAAAGCAAGCGTCAAGGCCCAATCCGCAGCTGCAAGACTTATTCGCGACTCGGCCGTCATCGCGTGGGACGAGGCGCCCACGGCCTCGCGCGCCATGTTCGAGGCAGTGGACGCGCGTCTGCAAGAACTCCTCGGAAAAGTGAAACCCTTCGGGGGGAAGACTGTAGTCTTTGGAGGGGACTTTCGTCAAATCCCTCCCGTCCTCCGCTACTTAGACCGAGACGCCATCCTCAACCACACCTTGGCTGCGATGCCGTGGTGGGGCTCCGTCGCCGTACGGAAGTTCAGACTCCACCGGAACATGCGCGCCACTGTGGACGCAGCTTTCGCCGAATTCTGTCTCCGCGTCGGGGACGGCGCGTGCGCCTCTCCACCCTTCGAAAACGTAGACAGAGAGTACGAGGCGTGCGTCGTCGAACTCCCCGACGCCGTTCTGGCCCCCCATTCTTGGAGACCAGCAGATTTGTTGGAGTGGGTGTACGAGGGCTTTACCACGGTAGAGCCTGCGCAATGGTACCAGTATTATGCTTCCCGTGCCGTTGTGACGCCAACGAACGATGCTGCTGACGCCCTCAACGCCCTCATGCACGCGAAGTTGCCCCCCGATACCGAAGTAGTGTCCCGGAGCCACGACGTGGCCATCGCCGAAGTGGATCACGGTGATACCTACACCACCGAGTTTCTCAACAGCATCCAAACAGCTGGACTCCCGCCGCACAAGTTGCGCTTGCGCAGCGGCTCCTTGGTGATCCTCCTTCGGAACTTCGCCCCGCGCCGCGGCCTGTGCAACGGAACGCGGCTGGTTGTAGAAACACTGCGGTCGTACTTCCTCGTCGTCCGTATAGTCACAGGCCCATTCGCAGGCAACGTCGAGCTCATCCCGCGGATTTGTTGCGAGTCCTGTGGCGATTGCGAACTCCCCTTTGTCCTCCGAAGACATCAATACCCCGTGAAACCGGCCTGGGCCATTACCATCAACAAATCGCAAGGCCAGTCCCTGCAAGGTCGTCTGGGAGTCTATCTTCCGCGGCCCGTTTTCGCGCACGGCCAACTCTATGTTGCCATCTCTCGAGGATCTAGCTTTGAAACAACGATGGTCTTGGTAGAAGAGACGCATCAGACGGAGCAAGGCCTCATGCCACCTACGGGGAGTTGTCCTGCACGTGCATTCACCGCCAACATCGTAGACGCGTCATTGCTGCAGGCAGCGCGCGCACCTGGCCATGACAGTAGCGCCGCTCGAGAGAGTGTGGACGTAGATCACAGGGAGGACGGCCAGGCACCCCGACCGAAAGAGGCAGACGTCGCGACCACCGCTACGCAAGAAGTTCCTGCCCTGCACGAGACCGCATCGTGCGAGCCGGCACGCACTCTTGACAACGAACGAGAGTCCGGCGCGGAGCTGCACGGCATGCACGCAGCGTATTTTAGACACCACGCCACCGCGCAAGACACCTTCGACGAGACGGCCGCCCACACATACACAGTGACCCACGAAGTGCTCACGCCCAATTGCGACTCACCGGCCCCCCCCGCGAAGCGCGCGCGGAGATGCCGTGCGCCGCGCCCTCCAGAGGGAAGCCCGCCGCCTCCCGCTGAGACGCCCGCTGCAGAAGTTACATCGTCCGCACCTCGTTCGGCGACCACCAACTGCATGTCTGTCCGGCCACCGCCCCCATGTTCCACAGTGCCACGCGGAACCTCCGCTTCCAGGCCTACGGAATCTTGCGACGCAACCATCGGTCCGCTCGCCAAGCGTGTTCGACAGCTCACCCGTGGCCCTCCTCCGTGGCTTCTCTTTCACGATACTGGACTTCCCTCCCCTGAGCCGCTCTGGCCGTTCGACTCGACCCCTACGTGGTACAATGCGCCGCAGACCGGTGCGACGACCGCCGCGGGAACGCAGCGAGGCAGCACTTGCGGCCTCCATGCCTTCAACCACGCGCTTGCCGCAGCATCTCTCTCTACCCATCGTCCATTCACACCTGTGGACCAGACGCGGTTTGAGCAGACAGCCCTCGCAGCCCGCATTGGGGACCGCATCGAGCACCTGCTTGAGGATCACAGTGGCAACTACGACGTGGCCGTACTATCATGCAACTTCACGCGCGCCGACCTCTCCATGCTGCCGCTGACACCCCACGATCTGCAGCACCGTTTGGGCTCCCCCTTTGACGACCACACGTCCACAGAAGGCCTCTTCCGTCCGCGCGCATACCTGTTCCGCGGCCCCATGAGCGGTGGCCATTGGTTCGTCGTGATCTCTGCGCCTTCCTGTTCGAACGCTCCCAGTACTAGCAACACTCTGGCCCTCTGCGACTCCCTGTTCGCGCGTCCGCACGTCATCCAGCCATCCGACTTAGATCGCATGCTCGCCATCTGGGCCTCCAAGATCGCGTGGAACTCCGTGGGCGATGTCCACTGCGACTGGCGATGTTTCCTCATAGCCAAGCAGATGTGACTGATCGGTCAGCGTGACCGCGCGCGGCACCGCGAGGACACCGAGCGCACGCTCTGGAGCCCATGATTTCCCTAGGTGGCCTCCTCCTTCTTGTCCTCCTCCTCCTGCCTTTCCTCCCCCCTCCGCTCCTTGGTAAACGTCGCGCCACCTCCTCCTCCTCCTCTTCCACCTCGTCCCCTTCCTCTTCTTCCTCCTCCTCACCCCCCTCCTCCTCCCCCACCCCTTCCTCCTCCTCCCCCTCCTCGTCCTCAACCTGCTTTTCCTCCTCCACCTCCTGCTCCTCCTCCTCCTCCTCCTCCACCTCCTCAACCTCCTCCTTCTCCTCTCCTCGTCTTCCTCCTCCTCCTCCTCCTCTTCCTCCTCCTCCTGCTCCTCCTACTACTACTCCACCTCCTCCTCCTCCTCCTCCTCCTCCTCCTGCTTCTCCTCCTCCTCCTCCTGCTCGTCCTCCAACCTCCTCCTCCTCCTCCTCCTCCTGCCCCACCCCTTCCTCCTCCTCCTCCTCCTCCCCCACTCCCTCCTTCTCCCACTCCTCCTTCCCTCCTCCCCCTCCTCCCTCCTCCTTCCCCTCCTCGTCCTCCTCCTCCAGAGGCCCCCAAGATCGCTCTACGATAGTTGAAGAGGCATCCAAGAGGGCCCCAAGACGGCCCACGAGGCCCCAAGACGGTGCCTGAGGCGCCCAAGACGGCCCGAGAGGGCCCCAAAACGGTCCCAAGGGAGGCCCAAGAATGGGAACGCGAACCTAACAGCAGAGTCTTCCGCCCTGAGAGGCCCAGAGAAGGCCCCAAGAGTCCCCAAGTGGTCCGACGAGGCCCCCATAAGCCTCCCAAGTGGCCCCAAGAGGCCCAAGGAGACGTACAAAGGGCACAAAGATTGCCCAACAGTGCCTTCGATGCATCAAAACTGTTTGCAGGAGGTCCCCGGGAGGAGGCTTCGGGATTGCCTCAGTGTGGCCCCAGGCGCCCTCAAGTCGGGCCTCCACGCAGCCAAGACAGCCAATGACGGCTTCAGATTGCAGAACATCACCTTCCGACTGCCCGGAGAACGCCGACGATGTTCCCAAGGGACCCCAATAAGACGCCCCCTCAAGAAGCAACCAGAAGGTGCCTCCAAAAGCAAACTGAGGAAGCACGGAGAACCCCCCAGAAGCCCTTCAGATGCCCCCACGAAGACCCAAGAGGTCCCTAAGAGGCCCTCCGGAGGCACGACTATGTCACGCGCCTGTGCTTGATAGCGCTGTCCAAGATCTTCCAGCGCCCCCCGGCCTGGGCTAGAACTTGAGCGCGCGCGAAGCGCGCGCGATGGTTCTAGTATATATATATTATATATATATATATATACTCGTTTCATGCATGCATGCATGCATGCATGCATGTATGTATGTATGTATGTATGTACGTATGTACGCATGTACGTATGAACGTACGTACGTACGTACGTATGCATGCATGCATGCATGCATGCATGTATGTATGTATGTATGTATGTATGTATGTATGTATGTATGTATCTATCTATGTATGTATGTATGTATGTATGTATGTATGCATGCATGCATGCATGCATGCATGCATGCATGTATGTATGTATGTATGTACAGCACATATACATCTTGACACACATAGCTATGTACACAAATGTAAATTTGTAGGTATATATGTGTATCTATATATATAGAGAGAGACAGAGAGAGAGAGAGAGAGAGAGAGAGAGAGAAAGAGAGAGAGAGAGAGAGAGATAAAGAGAGAGAGAGAGAGAGAGAGAAAAACGAGAGGGGAATGCGTAATTCTTCCGGGTTCTGCGAGAGGCTTCGAGAGAGCTCTGGCCCAGGCTGTGGTATCAACAACGCTGACTTCGCCGATATCGGCAGGTGATCGGGGAGACCCTCGTCAAGTCCACCTTTCCAACCCCACCCTCCCCCTCATCGCTTCCCAGGCCGAGACTTCGGGCGGATCGATATTTTCACTCCTCGCGTTTTCCGTCAATCCGGGTATCCTGTGACCGTTTCCGGGCCCGGGAACATGAAATATGGTCCTGGGGCGAAAATTGGCCTTGGTGGAGGGGTCGAAGTTTCTGGAGCCCGATGGTTTTGAAACATTAAGTGTATCGGATGTCCGTCTGATTGTTCCAATCCGTGGGCCCCAGAGGAGTACATTCCTTCCCGGGGCCTGTTTTTCGCCCTGGGTCGTTTCTTGATGGTCCCGGGAACCGAGAACGGCCTCTTGGCAGCCGAGATGGCGGGATAAACTTCGGGATTGGAGAATTCAATCCGTCAGAGTTTTTGGCCCTGCCCCGTCCCCCCCGATGGGCGGCGGAACGTGGAGGGGAGGAGGGGGGGAGCTGGACCGACGGCTGCAGCGAGGGGCTCCCAGGTGACACGGAGCTGCCCGTTGAGTCCACCGAGGGTTTCAGCGTGGGCGACACCGTCGTAATCGAGGGCGGCAACAACAGCGAAAGTGTGGTCATCGCCAGCGTTGGGTCTATCGTGTCGCGCCTCTAGCTTCCCCCGCTCCTCCGGCACGGCCCGAGGGGCTGCTAGGAGAAGGGCGGAACGATTTCTGGCACCACCAGCGGCTCCCCCTGTGAAAGCTGCTGGCTTGACCCCAGGGCTGGGGTGGAAGTGCTTTCCATTCAATTAGTCGCTGGTGAGCGGAAGAGGAGGAGGCGGAAGAGGAGGATGAGGCGGAGGAGGCAGAGGAGGAGGCGGAGGAGGAGGAGGGGGCGGAGGAGGAGGCGGAGGAGGAGGCGGAGGAAGAGGACCAGTGCAAACCCAGGATTCATCAACGTTGTTTGAATAATCTCTTCCGAGTTCCGTCTTCATAGGCCTCTACCAGGGTTCATTTCCACTGAGGGAAATGAGCCGTTTGGAGACAACTGTTTGAAGATCTTGAAGCGTGCCAAAACAACAGTCTCGGGACTTCAACGCCACGAATTCACGTAACTGTTGCGTCTTGGCGACCCTGAATCGTGCCAGAGCGTTATCCCTGGGACTTGGACACCGCGAATCACCGTAACTGTTGCGCCCTGGCAATCCTGAGTCGCTCCACAACGCCATTTCTGGTAGGTTAACCATGGGAACTTTTGAAACTCGTGCAACGGTTGAGGACGAATGTGTGCTGCGCTTAGGCGAGAGCTACACGTTGAAAAAGGAACCGCCCTCCATCCATGAAGTCCATACAACTTTTTAAGGCGAGTGTGCGCGGCGCTTCGGTGAGAGCCACATAAAAAAAGGAGCCGCCCTCCACACGCGAAAGTCTTGCATTTTTGAAGACGGCTTCGCGCGGTGCTAAAGCGAGGGCCGCATTTTGAAAACGACCTGCCCTCCATCCGTGAAGCTCTGGTGTATTCTCAAGACGAGTGTGCGCGGCGTGGGAACCACATTTTTAAAGCGACCCGCCCTCAATCCGTGAAACTTTTGTTAATTTCAAGACGAATGTGTTCGGCGCTACGGCGAGAGCCTTCTTTTGAAACCGACCTGCACTCCATTCGTGAAGCTTATGCAACATGCTAAAACGAATCTACGCGACGCTAAGGCGAGAGCCACATGCTGGAAGCAACCCGCCCTACGTCTGTGAAGCGTTTTTTTCTTGTTTGGTTGTTCTCTGCTGTGGGGTCACACGTGGTAAGGAAGGATCAGGCGAAACGCCCGGCCCGCCCTTCCGACTGGCCTCGGGATGCGACGGGAAGGATTTATCTATAAGGACAAGTAATGGAGGAGGAGGTGGAGGAGGAGGAGGACCATTAGAAACCCAAGATTCACTAACGACATTGCAATCGACCTTCCCTCCAAGTTCCCTCTTCATAGGCCCCTGCAAGAAATCATGTTCACTGAAGGAAGTGCCCCAGCGGAAAACAAGCGTTTGAACATTTTGAACTACGCCAGGGCACCATTCCTGGGATTTCAACGCCGCGAATCACTGTTATTGTTGCGTTTTGACGGTCCTGAATCGTGCCAGAACACCATTCCTAGGACTTCAACACCATGAATCAACGTAGCCGTTGCGCCCTGACGCTTCGACATCACGCCACAACACCATTTCTGGTACGTTAACCCTGGGAGTCTTTGAAACTGTTGTAAACTCTAGAAAGATGTGCGCGGTGGTAAGGCGAGATCCACATTTTGAAAAGAAGCCGCCCTCCATCCACGAAGCTCTTGCACATGTTTGGGACGATTGCTCGCGGCGCTGAGGCGAGGGCCACATTTTGAAACCGACCCGCCCTCCATCCGTGAAGCCCTTGTATAGGATTAGGACGAGTGTGCGCGGCGCTGAGGCGAGAGCCACGTTTTGAAAAGGAACCGCCCTCCATCCATGAAACTCTTGCAGTCTTTCAAGAGGAGTGTGCGCGGCTCTAAGGCTTGAGCCACATTTTGAAAACGACCTGCCCTCCATCCATGAACCTCTCGTGATTTGTTTTGCTTTAGGATCGTCAACGGTGAGGACGTCTGAGGCGGAACGCCTGGCCCGCTCTCTCGACCAGCCTCGGGGTGCGACAGGGAGGCATTATGGAATCGCTTCGCTCATTCCGCATGCCCATCTTGCCTCGCCGCTGTCGTTTGTCGGGGTGTTGTTTTCAATGCGGTGCAGCTGGGCGGCTGCCATTTTTCGGAGGCGGTGGGTGGCGGGTCAGAGGCCTCACGGATGTCGGTTGGGCTCTCGTGGTTGGCTTCTCAGGGGCCTTTGGGAGGCAGCTTTGAGGCCTCTTTGGGGCCTTTTGGGGCCTCTTGGGGCCTCTTGGGGGCCTCTTGGGGCTTCTTGGGGTGCCTCGTGGTGGCCCCTCGGGGCCACTTGGGGGCCTCTTGGGGCTTCCTGGGGGCCTCTTGGGGCTGAAGGCTGGACTTTTCGGTTCCTGGTCCCCTTCTTGGGCCCCTCTTGGGGCCGTTTTGGGGCTCTCTTGGGCCGTCTTGGGCGCCTCTTGTGTTGTCTTGGGGCCATCTTGGGCCGTCTTGGGCCCTCTTGGAGGCTTCGTGGGCCGTCTTGGGGCGGTCTTGACAGCCTTTTGGGCCGTCTTGGAGCGCCAGTACACCGAAAAGGCGAAAACGCCCAAGACCGTCAAAAACTGCAGGAAAATCAGTAATTTCTGCCTCTGTGGGCCCTCTTGGGAGGTCTCTTAGGGGGCCTCTTGGGGCGTCTTGAAGGCGGTTTGGGCTGTCTGCAGGCAATCTCTGGCGTCTTGGATCGCTCTTGGATCGTCTCGGACCATGTTGAGTTCTCCTGGAGGCCACTTGAAGCGCTCCTGGAGCGCTCGTGGGAGCCTGCTGGGACCTGGCCGGGACCTGCCCCAGACCCGGCCGGGACCCGGCCAGGGTTTGGCCGGGGGTTGGCCAGGACTTGCGGGGACTTTTCGTCCGGGGACCCCCAGGGGCGGCCCCGCACGCGCGAACTAGAAATATTGTTAACCAGTTACTGGGGATCTTAGCACGCCCTTTGCCCGTTGGGCCAGCGAATCTGTCAGGAAAAGGAATGGAGGACCAGGAGGAGGAGGCGGAGGAGGAGGAGGAGGAGGAGGGGGAGGAGGAGGAAGAGGAGGAGGAGGAGGAGGAGGAGGAGGAGGAGGAGGAGGAGGAGGAGGGAGAGGATGGGGAGGAGAGATAGATGCTCCGTGCCCGTGCGCTGCTGCTCGTCTTCGATGTGTATCATCTCCCTGTCGCCGAAAGGCGCACCAGATGTGCCGGGTGAGCGAGAACGGCCTCGATGCAGTCGCATGGGTCTGCTGCATGTCGGCTACGTCTGGTCGAGCCGATCGTTGTACTCACATACGCTGCACATGCTGCATCGGCTCTATAGCCGTGTCTGGCCACGGCGTTCTGATGATCTTTCTCTGGACATAACCCGATATTTTTTGACCCTATGAGCGGTACATGTGATTGTCACTGATTGTCCTTCAATCACCACGTAGAGGTACTGGGGAAGCTCAGGATTGCCAAAAACCAAAATGGCTTAAGTGGTGATCGCAGGAACTCGAGGTGGAGGAGGAGGAGGAGGAGGAGGAGGAGGAGGAGGAGGAGGACGGGGAGGAGGGAGGAGGAGGAGGGAGGAGGAGGAGGAGTAGGAGAGGAGGACGAGGAGGAGGAGGAGGAGGAGGAGGAGGAGGAGGAGGGGGAGGAGGAGGAGGAGGAGGAGGAGGAGGAGGAGGAGGAGGGGGAGGAGAGGTGGGCGCTCAGGGTCCGCAATGCTGGGCCCAGAAGCACTGCCATGAAAACCAAATGCGCGGGGCGGATAGATCCTGCCCCCCATACCTGAGTGAATTCAGAACCAAGGGCAAGAGGACGAGGGGAGGGAGGGAAAGACGGATGGAGGCGCTTAGTTCCGATCCTCCTTGGCAGTGGCACGGAGGCATTGCCTCGCAATGCAGTGCGTCCTATCCGGCCTTCCCATGGCAGCTCGTTTTGTGCTTGCTCGCGCAGAGCGTCGCGCGATCACAGCCGCGATGCGAGTAATGAGTTCGCGTTTCATCGCCCCTGGCTCGCGACGCTTCCCTGCGCCTACGGTTGCGGCGATGGCCCGGACCGCCTCATCAGCAGCCTCGGACGTGCCCCCTTGTACCTCCCACGAGCGGCGAACACATCCATGTCCACGCCTTCGCGGTCTGGACTCCGCGGTGTGATCCCGTGGATGCGCGGTCGCATGGATGCGTTTCGCGCGGGGCATCCGCGAGTAAGTGTTCCGCATCCATGGTGTCGCGGCCCAAGGGCCCGGCCCGCGAGGATGTGGATATGGACGCGTTCCCCCCCTCTCCCCCTGTACCTTGTGAGCCACGGGCAAGGACAGGAAAGGCATCCTGCCTGGATCTTGGCATCGCTCGGACGTGTACATTTTTCCTTCGGCGAGGACCATCGAGGAGCATCCTTGATCATTTCGCGAAAGAACCACGCACGAAACCGAAAAAAGCACAGGAAATGGACGTCCGAGCGATAGCCAGGGATGCACCTCTGCTCCGCGTTCTTCTCCCCGAGTCTGTGCCCGCGGCCGTCCCCGATCGGCCCAGCGCGCCGGTGACGGCCAGAATGCAGCATACCAGCTCGGTCCTGATGGCTCGCGACGCGAGCCGGCATTGCCCTTCCTTGGCAGCCTTGCGGGGGGATCGGCTCCAGGGGCCCGATCGCTCGTTCATCGCCGAGGTGGGCCCGATTCACATGCGATTCCGCTTTCGGGGGCCTGTTGCCAATCTATCGGCCACGTCTCCCCGTTGCCCAGCCGATGCTTCCCCGCCCCCTGAACCCGTCGCCCCGCAACATTGCCCCCCTGGTGTGCACAAGACTTCCACAGGCCTGCGTCGGCTGCCCCAGCCCCATCGCTGGCTGGAGCCCCCCCCCCCGTGGCGCCTCGTGCTCGGGGCTGAGGCCGCCATGCTCGCGGAAGTCGTGGACCGGGCTTCGTACGTACCCCACAGTGCCGCAAGGTGGCGTCCGGACATGCTGCCCTACGGTGGGGGCATTGGATGAGGAACCATTGGATAGGGAATCCAGGGGCTGGAGGCCGGGAGACCTCCAATCGTGGACTGGCCACGGGAATCACTGCCGCCCTCATCAGACAATGAATCCCCCAGGGTCTGACGTCTCCTGGGCACACTCTTTACCCAGCGCCCTCATCGTACCTCTGCATCCAACAGCTGACCACGAAGCGGCCACGAGTCGTTTCCATCCATGCCGTCAGCTTTCCAGGATAAAGCGCGACTGCACACACACATTCACCAGGCAAGATTTACGTCCAGCACCTGTGATAAAGCCGTCTCCATGTAAAGTGGTCTTGAGAAGTGTCGAGGAGAAGGAGGAGAAGGAGGAGGAGGAGGACGAGGAGGAGGAGTACGACGACGAATAGTTGATGTGGCCTCGAGAAGTATCGAGGAGGAGGAGGAGGAGGAGGAGGAGGAGGAGGAGGAGGAGGAGGAGGAGGAGGAGGAGGGGGCCGATGAGGCGGTCGCCGAACCGATCAAACGCCCGCGCTCACGATGAGCTTTCTGTTGCCATGCAACCTGGATTGGCTGCAGGATACCTTGCCTCTTGTCGGCGAGACCCCGTAGCTCGCGCTCTGGACGGCCTCTAGGCAGATCGGGATCTCGAGCATGGCGGGCAGCCCTAAGGGGCCATTCTGGTGACATCCGCGTGCTGAGGGCATGATCTCCTATCGGGTGCCCTGTCATTCCCAGACCTCCGATGTCGTGACCGCCCCACGGTGTTAGCTACCAGAGCTCTCGAGCCCACCCCCGGGGGACAGCTGCTCCGCCGCGGGCAGCTTTCTTGACGGCCCGGGGGCCCGCAACGGGCCACCGTGTGAGGCCCCAGCTCGGGAAGAGCTGGCCGCCGTGTGCTCCCACGACGCCCTGGGAATGGGGGGCGGCGGTGCCCTCCGGCTGTGCCCACAGAGACCGCAGGTGGGGCTCTCCGAGGGGCACGCAACGTCGGAGGGTGTGCCGATCTGGGGGCGGCGGTGCCGTATGATCTCGCCCACGGGGGCCCCAGGTGGAACTCCCTAGGGCGCAGTCCTTGTCCTGGATTGCACCGGGGGTCAGGCAGCAGCCCGGCCCGCACCCGATCTGCGCAATCTGTCGGCCCGATCCGGACCGATCGAGGGGGCGCGACGAGGCTGGCCAGCGGCGTCAACAGCGACTACCCGTCCAGCTCCACCGTCACCTTATACGTCACAACGGCCGGCCTCCCCTTCCGCCTCCGCCTCTGCCCCCCTCTGCCTTCCCCTCCCCTTCCCCCCCCCCCCCCTGCCCCCCTTTATCCTCTACCCCTTCCTCCTCCGCTCCTCCCCCCCTCCCCTCCGCCCCTCAGTCTCGCCCCCTCCCCCTCTCCTTCAGCCTCTGAGCGAGGGTGGGGGTGGGGTGGGGGGGTGGGTGGGTGGGTGGGAGGGGGAGCAGGATGGAGAAGGCGAGGAGGAGGAGGAGAGGAGGAGGAGGAGGAGGAGAGGAGGAGGAGGAGGAGGAGGAGGAGGAGAGGAGGAGATGGAGGAGGAGGAGGGGGAGGAGGAGGAGGAGGAGGAGGAGGAGGAGGAGGAGGAGGATTCTAGGCTCCGGGGCAGATGGCTCGGCGATTCATTCGCCGCCCCGCGCGGCTTGGAGGCTCGATGATACACATGCGAACTTCTTGGTGAGCTACACGATTTTCCGCGAAGTGCTGTAGCCTTTGGCCTCGAACACCCCAGCTGACTGGCGACCCTCAGGCTTACTGAATCCTTGTCTACCGCCTCGCGATACAACATAGCTCTGCTGAAACCATGCGGACCGTGCTGGCCGCTCTTCGTGCAGCGACCCGTCGCCCCAGGTCCAAGGCAGCCACCGTTGGCGTCTTGGCCGTGCACAGCGTGAGGTTCTTGCCCACCCCTCCGACGATTGGAAGTTTTTGAGTCGCTGACTCCTGGACTTCTCGATTCCTTCCCAAAGGAGCGGCTCTCCCACCTCGGGCCGTTCTGCTCTGACAACCTCCTTGGGGAGGACCTCTGCACGCCCAAAACTGGTGAACAAGTATCCCGCGCGCGATCTGTTTTTGTCGCGGGAGGTAAGGATCTCAGGAGGTCACCTGTGAGGAGGCCGTTTGTTTTGTGGTGCGATTCTGGCAAGCTTGCTTACATGGAGGGAAGAGGGGGCTCTTTGGCGAGCTCCTGAAGGGGAAGCTGGAGATCACGCGAGCCGAAAGTTGTCTTTCACGTCTTGCGGCTCAGCACTGACCGAAAATGGCGGCGGTGGGTGAGCGGGTGGAGGCAAAACGTTACGATCAGTACGATCATGTGCTCCCAGAAAAGGACGGGGCGGACGTAACGATCATTACGATCATTACGATCATGTGTGGAGAGATCTTGTCTCCCAGATGTCATAGCCCCTCGTCCGCGCGCATGCCTCGGGTCGGCCACGCGCGGGGGGGTGGCTTGGCGGAGGGGGGAAGACAGAAGCAGCCCCGCCTCTTGGGAGGCGCGGGCCTCCTCTGCAGATGTGAGGCCCGCGCGTATTGAGAAGCAGCCTCCTTCTGAGAGGCCTTCCCCCCTCCCGGGGGTCGACCTAGACGGTGTTCTGACGATTTCGTGGGCCGGTTTCGTTTCGATCTCGTTCGGCAGCAGAGTTGGACCGAAGACAAAACGAGGGACGGCGAAAACGACACGAAAACGCACCACGCTGTGTGGGTCTCGATCCCCCCCCCATCCCCCGCCCTCCCCCCCCCCCTTCAGACCTCCTCCTGCGCGCCGCCCACTCGGCCATGGTGCGCCCCCCTCTTCGGCGCGCACCCCGTCCGGGGGCCCGGCGGCCCGGCGGCTCGAGCAAGGTCGAGTCGTCGGAGGCCTGGGCGCCTGGGCACCTCCCTGCTGCGCTCGGCGGCGAGGGCGAGGGCGAGGGCGAAGACGCCCAGCACGCCACCCCAGCTCGGGTTGACCCACAAGGTGGTCCAGCGACAAGGGTGTGGTGCAAAATATTTGGTGCGATAGATTTGTGGTGTTGCAATACGTTTGGGGCGTGCGATACATTTCCGGGCGCAGATGTACTGCTGGATTTTCGCGTGCAATGCATTCGTCGAGAAGAAATCTCCGGCGCAACACATTTGCAACACGATTGCCCCAAATCTATTGTACCACCCCCTTTCAGCAGGACCCCGTTTTGGGTCGACCAAACCAGCCCAGCCCGAAGGTCCCGTTTGCCCTCCATTCTCCAGTGAGAGGAGCGTCGGGGAACACTGAAACATATCGCATGTGGAACCCACACACACCCCGAACCCGAAATTCGGGCCTTCGGGTCAGGTTTCGGGGGGGATGGTAGGTAGCCAGAGGGCCGAATAGTGGCTTCTGACCAAGGGGAGCATCCTGCGCGTTCGACTTCGAGCATCGTCGAGGAGCCGGGCGATGGTACCGCGGGGGTGGGCGCAGTGGCAGAGGACCCTGGGTGCCCCTCACTGGGGCGTGAAGGCATCTGCATCGAGCTGCCGGCCTTGGGACAGAGCGCTGCCCCCTCCTCCTCCTCCTCCTCCTCCTCCTCCTCCTCCTCCTCCTCCTCCTCCTCCTCCTCCTCCATCTCCTCCTCCCCCGCCCCCTCCTCCTCCTCCTCCTCCTCCTCCTCCTCCTCCTCCTCCTCCTCCTCCTCCTCGTGCAGCGCGAAATCGATAAAGGTGTCAGCCTTTCTTGCGTTCCGCGGTTCGCGCGAGGCGCGAGTTGCTGAGACCCGTGCGGTGGAGGGGGAGGCGTGGTCATGAATCCCCTTGGTGTGAGGGTGCGTGAGGCAGGGCAAGCAGCGCTCGCTCGACGCCTTGGGTGCATGGAAGCTCGCTGTGCACTGGCCACAGTCCGAGATTGGAGGGGGAGGATGGTGGGGAGGAGGAGTGTCGGAGAAAGAGGAGGGGGAGGGGAGGGAGAGGGGCGAGGGAGAGGAGGATGCGGAGGGATATGGGGATGATGGGGATAATGGGTATGCTGATAATGATGCTGATGATTCTGATGATGCTGCTGCTGCTGCTGATGATGATGATGATGATGATGCTGATGATGCTGCTGCTGCTGCTGCTGATGATGATGATGATGATGCTGCTGATGATGATGATGATGATGAGGATGCTGATGATGATTACGATGACGATTATGCTGATGATGAGGATGCTGATTACGATGATGATGCTGATGATGCTGCTGCTGATGATGATAGTGCTGACGATGGTGGTGACGGCGACGACGACGATACTGCTGCTGCTGATGATACTGATGCTGATGCTGATGCTGATGATGCTGCTGCTGCTGCTGCTGCTGATGATGATGATGATGATGATGATGATGATGATGATGATGATGATGATGATGATGATGATTATGAAGACGACGATGATGATGCTGCTGCTGATGATGATGATGATGCTGATGATGATGAGGAGGAGGTGGAGGAAGACGAGGAGGAGCAGCAGGAGAAGGATGCGGCGGCGGTGGTGGAGGAGGAGGATGATGATGATGATGAGGAGGAGCAGGAGCATGAGTGTCGAGGAGGAGAGGGACATGAGAGGAGAAGGTGCGTGCAGGACGAGGAGAAGGAGGGGAGACATTGGACAAGGACGGGCTCCTCGGAGGGCGGGCCGCGGCAGCCCCCAGGACGCGCTCTCTTCTTCTGAGGTCCTCTTGGGCGGCATCGCCGCCGTCGTCGTCGTCGTCGTCGTCGTCGTCGTCGTCGTCGTCGTCGTCGTTGTCGTTCGGGGTTGGGGATAGCCAGTAGCCAGTAGCATTGCCAGTGGCACTCCGTAGCATTATCTACATACGTGGCACGTGGCGCCCAGTCCCCCGCCCTCCTCCCGAAGAAGGCCAAGGAGAGGAGGATGAGGAGGAGGAGGAGGAGGAGGAGGAGGAGGAGGAGGAGGAGGAGGAGGAGGAGGAGGAGGAGGAGGAGGAGGAGGAGGAGGAGGAGGAGGAGGAGGAGGAGGAGGAGGAGGAGGAGGAGGAGGAAGGAGGAGAGGAGGAGGAGGAGGAGAGGAGAGGAGAGGAGACCAGGACGGAGGGAAGATGGAGGCGGGATGAGGGAGAAGGGAGGGAGGAGACGGAGGAAGAGGGAGGGAGGAGGGAGGAGGAGGGGGGGGAGGAGGAGGGAGGGGGAAGGAGGGGGAGGAGGGAGGACGGACGGAGGAGGGGAGGGAGAGAAGAGAGGAGGAAGGAGAGGAGGGTGAGGAGGGAAGGAAGGGAGGATGGAGTGGGATGGATGGATGGATGGATGGATGGATGGACGGAGGGAGGGAGGGAGGGAGGGAGGGAGGGAGGAGGAGGAGGAGAGGAGGAAGAGAGGAGGAGGAAGAGGAGGAGGATGAGGTGAGAGGAGGAGGACGAAGAGGAGGAGGAGGAGGACGAGGAGATGAGGACGAGGAAGAGGAAGGAAGAGGAGGAGGGAGGGAGGAGGAGGCGGAGGAGGAGGAGCCAGGAGGAGGAGAGGAGAGGAGGAGGAGGAGGAGGAGGAGGAGGAGGAGGAGGAGGAGGACAAGCTAGGTGCGCTCGCGTCATATCTGACATCCTACCCCTCCCTCCCATCCCTTACCATGGCGTAGATCCCCTCTCTACTCGCACAGTCGGATGTCGAGCAGGGCAATGATCCCGAAAGGGTACGCGATGCATTGTAGAGCACGGCATGGCATGGCGTAGAAGAGCACCGCAAAGCGTAGTATCAACCTAGCATTGCATTGCATGCCGTGGCATGGCACGGGAAATGACGCCAGCGCTGCAGTCGGAGCACGAGTCGGAACGAGCGGAAGCGCGGAAATGAGGCCAGCGCTGCAGCGGGAGCACGATTCAGAACGAGCGGAAGCACGGAAATGAGGCCAGCGCTGCAGCGGGAGCACGATTTGGAACGAGCGGGGCCCGAAAATGAGGCCGGCGCCTCAGCGAGAGCAGCATTTTGGAAACAAATGCAAACGAAAACCCAACTCCGGGGAATCCTGTGTAAAAAACAGTACACGGGGGGGGGACTAATACTTTCAAGCCGTCATCAGGGGAAGAGGGAGTTGGATGAGGAGGAGAAGGAGGAGGAGGAGGAAGAGAAACAGGAGGAGTAGGTGGAGGAGGAAGTGGAGGATTGTTTTTTGTCTGGGCCTCTCCGTTCTCCTCATTTGTTGTGTGGCCGGCGGAGACCGCTTCGTCGACAACGACCATCACGTTCACGAGCGGCTCGTCGACGGCCACGGCCACCTCGTTCACAGCGACCACCGCCTCGACGACCACGACCTTGACAACCACGGATTCGTCAAGCCTGCCAGCTTCTCAGCGCCTCCATCTTGGTTGCTTCCACGGAAACTCACACACACACTACAACGCGCACACGCTTGTTTTGGCATACGCACGCGCGCGCGCGCGCGTGTGTGTGTGTGTGTGTGTGTGTGTGTGTGTGTGTGTGTGCGCGTGCGCGTGCGCGTGCGCGCGCGCGCGTTCGTTTGTTCGTTCGTTCGTTCGTTCGTTCGTTCGTTCGTGCGTGCGTGCGTGCGTGCGTGCGTGCGTGCGCGCGCGCGCGCGCGCGTGTGTGTGTGTGTGTGTGTGTTGTGTGTGTGTGTGTGCGTGCGTGTGTGTGTGTGTGTGTGTGGTGTGTGTGTGTGTGTGTTGTGTGCGTGTTAGTGTGTGTGTGTGTGTGTGTGCGTGTGCGTGTGCGTGTGCGTTTGCGTGTGCGTGTGCGTGTGTGTGCGGGTGCGTGCGTGCGTGCGCGCGCGCGCGTGTGTTTTTCGTTCGTGTGTGTGTGTGTGTGTGCGTCTGTGTGTGTGTGTGTGTGTGTGTGTGGGTGTGGAGGTGTGTTTAGTTACAGTAATTTTATGAACGAGTTTTTCCAAACCTCCTTGTGTTGGGGTTTTGCTTGTGATAGAGCGCTGCTGCCGCCTTCCGCCTTCTCTTCCCGCCTCCCTCCCTCTCCTTCCTCCTGCTTCCTACCTCCTATCTCGCCGTTCCTGGCGGATGCGAGCTGGGAGCATGTCGCTACTTTCGCGTGCTCCTCTTGGGCCATGCTGGAGCCTCTTGGGCCCCTCTTGGGCCTATCTTGAGGCCTGCGAAGCCTAGGAGAAGCGAACATGTAAGAATGCAGCAGGCATTGGTTCGCCTTAGGTCATGTAAGGGTTTGGGACTTTTTGGGACATCCTTGGGAGGCTCCGTGGCCACTCGGAGCCGTCTTGGAGGAATTTTTGGGGCTCTTGCAGCATGTCGGAGGGAAGCTTCGGCGATGTTGCACTATCTTATTCCATCTTGGAGTTCATTTTTGGCTCTCTTGCGCCATGTTGGAACCATCTTGGGTGCCTTTAATTGGTCCCCTCCCCCGTCCAGACATGGGGTGAGAGGGTGAATGGAGGGGTCAAGCGGCCCCCTTGGAAGGACGGCCATCTCGCTCGCTCCCAACTCCCATCCGCCCCCCCCCCCACCACATAAGTGGCACCCGAGTCTCAGCATGGGCAGGGGCCGCCATCAACAATCGGCCTGTCTCCGTGTTTGCCCCCGGTCAGGGGGGGGGTCATATTCATAAGGACCAGTGATCCAGCCACCCCCTGAAGGCCGGTCCTCTCGCTCACTCCCACCCAGCCTTCCACCGCAGAAGTAGCACCCAAGCCAGGTGCGCGACGCCCGCTGGGTGCACTGCGCGTGCCATGGCACCCCCATCATCCCTGTCGAAGAACGATGCAAAGTGATCACGGGGAACCCGCGCATGATCAAGGTTTTGTAGCAGAGCGTATTTCGTTTTTTTCCTAACCATCCTGTGCTGTTGGGTATCGTTTTGAAGTCCTCCTCCTCCTCCTCCTCCCTCCCCCTCCTCCCCCTCCTTCTCCTCCTCCTCCTCCTCCTCGTCCTCCTCCTCCTCCTCCTCCTCCTCCTCCCATCCTCCTCCTCCTCCCCTTTCTCCTCCTCTCCCCCTCCTCCCATCCTTGCATTTGCCCTCCGCATGCAAAATATGTCGGCACACCCCTCACACGTTTCGGGGCCCCACAGGGAGCCCCACCGAGGACCCCAGCGGCTGCGTTCGAATGGCACCACCGCGACCATTTCGGCACACCTCTCACACGTTTGTGGCCCCGTAGGGAGCTCCACCGAAGGCTCCAGCAGCTGCGTTCGCATGGCACCACCGCGCCCATGTCGGCTTACCCCTCACATGTTCCGTGCCCCCATAGGGAGCTCCACCGAAGGCCCCAGTGGCTGGCGCCACCGCGCCCATGTCGGCACGCCCCTCACACGTTTCGTGGCCCCATGGGGGAGCTCCACCGAAGGCCCCAGTGGCTGCGTTCGAATGGCACCACCGCGCCCATTTCGGCACCCCTCACGCGTTTCGTGGCCCCATGGGGGAGGGCCCCAGTGGCTGCGCTCGCATGGCACCACCGCGCCCATGTCGGCACACCCCTCACATGTCTCATGGCCCCATCGAGAGCTCCACCGAATGCCCCAGCGTCTGCGTTCGCATGGCACCACCGCGCCGATTTCAGCACATGCGTCACCTGTTTCGTGGCCCCAAGGGGAGCTGCATCGAAGGCCCCAGGGTCTGCGCCCGCATGGCACCACCGCGCATACGTCGGCTCACCTCTCACACGATTCGTGGCACCATAAGGAGCTCCACCGAGGGCTCCAGAGGCTGCGCCCGCATGGTACTACCGCGCCCATGTCGGCACACCCCTCACATGTCTCATGGCCCCATGGGGAGTTCCACCCAAGACGATAGTCACAATCGGGGTATTCACAACTGCATATGGTTGGTCTTTCGCCAGTGTGTCAGAGATCATGGGCATGCGCGCAGCAGGAAATAGGCAGGCCCCCCCTCCAGACCCCTCCGTCCCTGTTCAAAAAGACAACGATGCAAAGTGATCGTTTGATGCCCGTGCATGGTCCAGATTTTGCCGCAAAGTGCACTTTACCAGGGATGCTGGGGGGGTGTCCGCATGGTTCAGGGTTTTACCCGCTCAGGTGTGGGAGGGGATTTGCAAACATAAGAAACAGTGATCAAGCTACCTCCCGAAGGACGGTCGTCTGTCGTCTCGGTCACTCCCACACGCCCTCTCACCCCAGAAGCAGCACCCAAGTCTCAGCATGGGCAGTGGCCGCCATCGACAAGCATCGGCAATCACATACGCCAGCCAGGTGCGCGACGCCCGCGGGGTGCTCCGCGCGTGCCAGGGTACCCTCATCATCCTTATGAAATGCAATGCGTATTGAAGACAGGGCGCCCGTAAGTGATCCAGGTTTTACCGCAAAGTGTATTTCGTATTGTTTTTTGACAGGGATGATGGGCCTGCGCGCAGCAGGCAGTATGCGGGCGCCACCCTCGACCCTATCAAAAGACAATACAAAGTGATCGCTTGGTGCCCACGCATGGTCAAGATTTTGTCGCAATGTCCGCTTGTAATGTGTTTTTGGCAGGCATGGTGCGGGTGATTCCGGGTTTGCCACTGGTCGGGTGGGGGAGGGGGTGTATATGAACAAAGAAATTTGATTAACCCCTCCCCGCAAGGGAAGAAGGGGGATGGAAGAGGAAACGCCCTATTCCGTCTCCGCCCAGAGGGCTGGTGGGATTCCCGGGAGCTTCTTGGGGCTGATCCATCGTGAGCTTGATCGGTGCCGCCCCTCTTGGTTTCACTATAGTGCTCCTTCGTTTCCCTTCTCACGACACATGTCGCTTAGGAGTATTTTTCTGTCTGGGCTTTCCGGGGTACCCATCGGTCGCTGAAAGTAAGCAATTTAAGGATTCCTAGATCCCAACCTATTTGGGACACCTTCCAATTTCAAGGATCGATCGTTTTCCCCTCTTCCCTCCTCTTGAAGGGGCGGGTGGAGATCCAATCTGCTTCCAACGCCTTTCTACCTCATGCTGTTATTCACTTCCTCAGCAATTCGTGTCCAAACTGTGCCTGTTCACATGCGTGGCAAGCCCGCTGCCAGTCCCTGCATTCCTCGGGCGATGCTCTGCCAGTGGACGCGGCCGCCGCTGTGCGATGCGTGCCGTGGCCTTAAGGCATCAACCAGATACCTCCGAGGGTACCCTTGTGCTCTTCAGCATTCCTTCCAGGTGCTCCTTCCTCGTCTCGCCTCCTCTTCTCCCTCCGGCTATTCTTACTCCAACCATGATCCTTGGTCAGTGATGCCCGCATTCCCCCTATTAGCAACCAGGGGTGGACCCAATGCGGGGCTATCCTTCCAACAAGGAAACAATTTTCGATCGCTAGTTGTCTCATCCGAAGAATCAACGCTTCGTCGCCAGCATCGCCACACGCGTAGCAAGGATGGGACGCGGTGCCTCACGCGCTAAAGGCGTAAGGCCACTCGAATGTCCATCCCTCATGGGACGAGCTACGGGGAAGCAAGCCTCACGCTCACCTCGTTTCGTGCACCCGAATTGCCGTCGGGGAGTGGCACGAACGTTTCAGATGCAAAGCGCAAATTCGCGGAACCCCGTGCCCCGGTCAAGCGATGCTTGGAACAACGGGGTCGATTGCGTCGACGGTCGCGCGTATGTCTTCTCCGAAAGGTGGCGCGTAATCGCCCTCCATTCCAACCGGTATCGCATAAGTAATCGCATGCTCCAGTGCAGCCTCAGAGGGTCGTTTGGGGATTTCTCCTCCCCCCCCCTTCCCGTCTCCGCTTCCTCCCCCTCCTCCCTCGTGCTCCTCTCCCTCCTCCTCCTCCTCCTCCTCCTCCTCCTCCTCCTCCTCCTCCTCCTCCTCCCTCTCCCTTCCCGGGGGGATGCGAGGCTGCCCGACTGCATCGGAGCATGAGGTCGCCGCGCTGTCGCGCGTAATACTCTTCTCGGTTCGCTGCCCAGCCCGTGATGTTGATGACGATGTTGATGTTGATGATGATGATGATGATGATGATGATGATGATGATGATGATGATGATGATGATGATGATGTTGATACGGATGAGTATGATGACGATGATGACGATGATGATAATGCTGATGATGATGACGATGATGGTGATGCTGATGATGCTGCTGATGATGATTATGATGCTGATGATGTTCGTGATGTTGGTGGTGATGGTGGTGCCGATGATGACGACAACGACGATGATTATGCTGATGATGTTGATGAAACTGTTGATGACGATGGCGGCAACGGTGATAATGCTGTTGACGAGGATTATAATGAGGATGGCTGTGCTGTGGGTCATGATGGTGATGATGATAATGATGATGGTGACGATGCTGATGATGACAGTAATGATGATGCTGATGGTGATGATGATGCGTGCGGATGGTAATGATGATGATGATTGGGCGTATGATGCTGATACTGAGGGTGATTAGTACGACGATGACTATGGAGACGATGATGATGCTGCTGATTATTCTGATGATGCTGATGCTGACGATGATGATGCTCCTGTTGTTGATAGTACTGACGATGATGGTGATGATGCTGATAATGATGATGCTGATTTACGATGATGACCATGACGATGATACTGATGCTGCTGATGATGTTAATGATGATGGTGCTGATGATGATAAGGATGATGGTGATGACGATGCAGATGATGATGATCATGAGGATGATGATGCAGATGATGATGGTGATGATTATGGTGATGCTGATGATGATGATAACGATGCTGCTGCTGATGATGATTGTGTTGATGCTGATTGGTGATAGGTGACGTTGGTTGGTGATGATGGTGGTGACGGTGCTGATGATGCTGTTGCAGATGATGATTACGATGACGCTGCTGCTACTGCTGAGGACGATGGCGGGCATGATGACGACGATGACGGTGATGATCGCAGTGCTAGTACTGATGCCGAAATTGATTTTCATGATGATGCTGATGATGCTGATGCTGATGACGATGATGATAATGATGACGATGATGATGGTGATGACGATGATGATGCTGATGATGATGAGGTTGCTGCTGCTTGTGTTGTGGATGGTGATGCTGCTGATGATGCTGCTGATGATGCTCATTCTGATGATGATGATTCTGATGCTGCTGCTGCTGATGATGATGACGATGCTGATGATGATGCCGATGATGCTGCTGTTGATGATTGATTCATTGATTCGTTGATTGTTTGATTGATTGATTGATTGCTAATGGTGATGGTGATGGGGCTGATGATGATGAGGATGATGAGGATGATGATGGTGATGATGACGACGATGATGCTGCTGCTGATGATGAGGAGGATGATGATGCTGATGATGCTGATGATGATGATGATGATGATGATGATGATGATGATGAGGAGGAGGAGGAGGAGGAGGAGGAGGAGGAGGAGGAGGAGGAGGAGGAGGAGGAGGAGGAGGAGGAGGAGGAGGAGGAGGAGGATGAGGAGGAGGAGGAGGAGGAGGCGGAGGCGAAAGAGGAGTCCATGGCCAGCGGGTCGAGGTCGAGCTCGTCGTCCTCCTCGGCCACCTCCAGCGGCACTGCCTCCAGCGGCACTACGTCGACGTCTGCCAGCTCGACGCCCACCTCGGCCACCTCGAGGCTCGCTCGGCTCGAGAGAAGGGATAGAGGAAAGAGAAGGTGGGGAAGGAGGGGGGAGGATCATGATCATGAGAGTGTCAGGTGACTGCAGCGGAGAGGGAGGACGGAGGAGGGAGAAGGGATGGCGTACGAGCGAGGAGCTTCACTCCAGCCTTCTCCCCCCGCCCCTGGCCCTCCCGCCTGCCTCCCCCCCTCACCCCCATTCTTTCCACTCGCTTCCCCCCCTCCCTCGCTTCCCCTTGCCCCTTCCTTTCCCCTCCTTTTCCCGCCCACTGCTCTCCCTTCTCACTCTCCCCCTTCCCTCTCCCCGTGTCTCCCTCCCTCCGTCCCTCCAGTCCGATGATGGCTTTCCTTCGCAGGTCTACGGCGACTGTGACCACGGCGACGACTACGACTGCGACCCCGTGCGGCGACTTCATTCCCGATGGAGAGGACGCCCGGAGAAGGAAGAACTGAAGGAAGAGTTGGAGAAGGAGGCCCCAGCCTCCTCCTCCTCCTCCTCCTCCTCCTCCTCCTCTTCAAGTGTCCCTCTGATGGGCGACCCCACCCCGTTTTCCTTCTTCTCCCCCCTGACCTTCCCCCGAATGGGCACTGAGCCTCCCCCCTTCCTCCCTCGTCGTCCTCCCTCCTCTCTGCGGTGACGCATTTGAGAGTGCTGCTTTCCTCTCCCCCGGCAGTGTCCAGTCGGGCTCCCGCCTCTCCCGCCCGACGTTCCTCCCTCCTGTTCACGGAAGCTCGAACTCTCGTTCGTTTCTTCTGCGGCATGGGCGGTACAGCGCTGCATACGGTGTGGGTGTTCGTTAAGGAATGTGCCCGGGAGGCTGCGGACCCTGGAGGATTCCGTATCTGATGAGGTCGGTGGTGATATCCATGGCCGATTCGCGATTGCAATTCCACTTGCTTCCAGACCCTGGATTCCTCACCTGAGGGTTCTTTGTCCAATGCCCCCCACAGCATCCGCCTTCACTCCTTTCGATCGGGGTTGCGGATTTGCTTCACGATCGTTTTCCAGTTGGCTCGTTGTGCGGACGGCACGCGCGCGAGTTACTTTCGCGTTGATGATTTTTTGTTGTCACACTCTGACTCGTTACACTCTGACTTGGGACATGTGCTTTTCCGTCGGCGGATCGTCTCTTGTCCGCCAAAGCGGTGCTCTGGCTGCAGCGCTGGCCCCACTTCCACATCGCCGTGGAGCTTCAGCCTAACGGAACGACGCTATGGACTCAGCGCCGATTGCCCTTCTAGATCTGCCTGCGGCCTGCGTCTCCCCGCCCCAGACCATGCATGCCGTGTTGTTTTCCACCTTGGGCGGTCGTGGTACCCGTGGTGCATATGCTTGGGCTCTGTGATGCTATGCTGCGCCATGCTACGCTATGATGTGTTGTTACCCATGGATAACAACACATTGCTATACAACGCCGCGATGCCATGACAAGTCAGACAGTGCTTTGCTAAGGTGCGCTTTGCTTTGCACGGCGTGGCGCCATGCCGTTGCATCGATCCTCGTTGCGCTGCGTTGCGTATGCTTCTGGGTAGAGCACGCCCCCTGGATGGGGTCGCGCCGAGTTTAAGGCGCGAGGCGCGAGGCGCGGGCGGCTGCTGGTAAGCTCCGATCTCGAAGGGCCGCGCCGCGTTGCGCCCACAGAGGGCCCCCCTTTTTTCTCCCCCTCCTCCTTCTCGTTCATGCTAGTCCTCCTCCTCCTCCTCCTCCTCCTCCGCTGTCGTTCCTGTCCTCCTGCGCCATTTCTCCCCCGCGGTCGCCGCCCTCCTCGTCTTCCCTCTTCCATCCTTCCCCTCCCGTTGTTCATCCTTTACTCCTCCTTCCTCCCCTCACTCTCCTTCCTCGTCATCGTCCAGTCCAACCTCAACCGCCTCCCTCATTCTTCCTCGATGCTTCTCTCTTCTCCTCCCCTCCCCCCCTTCGCCTTACTTTTGACCCTCCCATCTCTTGACCACTCGAGAGCTGGTTTTCTTTGACAAGGTTGCCCTTTCGGGATCAAGGCCTTCTTCGACACCTGAATCTGCGAGTCGAGAGGGCTCCAGCACAATTGTATGGGATGGGATCGAGGGGTAGGTCATCAGTCATTGCGCGAGGTCACCTAGCTTGTCTCTCTCCTCTCTACCCACCCCCCGCCTCCCGCACCCCCCCTTCATCCGCCACCTCCCTCCTCCTCCTGCCTCCCTCCACCGTCCTCATCTTCCTCCTCCATCCTCCCTCCTTCCCCCGTCCTCCTCCTCCTCCTCCTCCTCCTCCTGTCCCTCATACCTTGTCCCTTTTTCCTCCACCTTCATGCTTCACGCTGTCGGCCATTGCGATTGCGGTGTGTCCTCATGCTCCTCCTCCTTCCTCCTTCTCCTCCCCCTCCTCCCTCCTTCCTCCTCTTCCTCCTCCTGACTTATTTTTCTCATCCGGCTTGTCCTCATCCTCCTCTTCCTCCTTCCTTCCTCCTCCTCCTGACTCTTTCTTCTCATCCGTCTTGTCCTCATCCTCCTTCCCCTCCTCATCCTTCTCCTCTTCCTCCTCCTCCTCCTCCTCCTCTTCCTCCTCCTCCTCCCCCTCCTCCCCCTCCTCCGCTTGCTCCTCCTTCTCCTCCTACCCCTCCTCCTCCTCATCCTTTCAGTCTGCAACTCTTCAGCATCAATACGGAGACTGAAGTCTCGACGGCTGCCGTCATGGAAGGACTTGCCGAGAGGCCTGGCGTAGCCTCTGTTCAGACCGAACTCATCGAACCTGTCGGGCCTGACACTCCAGGCACGCGCTTAGCCCTCCGTTTGCCCTGGGGGCACCTTCGGCGCCGTGTGGGCTCAGGCATCTACCCGAGCACAGACAGATCAGGCGGGGGTGTGGTGCATGTTCTTTGCCAAGGGAGCCGCCGGCTACGACTGCAACGTCTACATGGGTCCTGATCGCAGCCCACGCCCGGTACGCCGCGACGCATACACCAAGGAGCTCCAGCAGGTGCTGCTTACGACGTCACTCACTGCTCCAATGGAGAGAATGGTGGTCCAAGCGGGCGCTCGACCTCGTCTTCTGCGCCGACATGCCAGTGGTGGGGGTCATCGCAGGTGCTGCCGCCAATGACCAGTCGAAGCTCGCATAAACTCCGCAAGCAGCTGCGCAATTCAACTTCGACCGTGGAACCGTCCCAGAGGCTTTCCACCAGATTTTCCGTGACATTGCGGTGGTTACGTCGTCATGGTCATGTTTCTGAACCCAGATGGCGCCCATGGGACCTTTTAGCCTGGGGAGCAGCAGGTCCAAATCATCTCATGGAACGCCGCAGCCTTGACCTGCCGTAGTAGAGGCGAGCGTAGACGGAAGCTAAAAATGAGTGGCTACCCACGTCAGGAATCAGGACGCGAGCCGTGACTTGCCTGCAAGAGGTTCACGGCACTTATGAATCCTTGGTCAACCAGTGCACGGGTGAGTACAGGATCTTCTCCACCATGGGCTCTCGTCCTGGCATCGGTGGGGCTGCGATTTTGGTGCCGTGGCGAACCAGGCAGGCCCTCGCTGCACCGCGTTCTGGCAGGAGGTCGAGCGCACGCCCTTCACATTCGCAACCCGCAGAGTGGCCACGAGATCCGCATCAGCAACGCCCACAATTACCACCTGTCAGACACAGCCCGCTCCGCGATCAGAGGCCAGTGGCAGGACAACGCCACGTGGGCTCGTGGGGCAGAGATGCAGAGGCTGGCGGTGGCCACGGGCGACTTCCACGTGTCCGCCAGGCCGGAGGCCGAACGACTCGCTCCTCTTCCCTGTGCCGCGTGCTAGTCGCCAGCCTGCGCCTGCCGATCAGCGTTAAGTCGGGCCTGCCCCTCTACAGGAGGAACACTCAAAGATAGTCCAAACATAGTCCAGGGACTATCTCGTGATGATGTTTGGACCACGTGGGAGCAGTTTCGGATCCTCTTTTGTTTCTCCTCCAAAATCCCCCTCTAGGGGGACAGGCCCGACCTAAGCTCTGGCGGCGTGCGCGTGCTGGCGCGCCTGCTCTTGTAGCACGGAAGGCCGTGCCAACCACCACGGGGCTTCCTGGAGGGGCCCCCTCGCCGGGCCGCTGGCGGAGCTTGTCGCCGAGCTCCCCATCCATTTCTCTCTCGGGCCTGCGCCCCCTCTCGTCGATCGATCGGGCGTTCGTCTCCCTCTCCCCTCACCTCCTGCAAGCGACGCCCTCTGGGCGACCTCGGGGCGACCTCTTGGGCAAAATTCGGCGACACCGGGCGCCGTTCCCTCCAGGGGACGCCCTCTGGGCGACATCGGCGCTGCTCCGCTCCGCTCCCCTCGCTTCCTCCTCGTTCTTGTGGCTTGGGCCGGGGCTGCCGCAAGAGTCTCAGTATACATCTTGGAATGTGAAAAAAGCCCATGGGTTAGCCGCGCTGGCCTACTCAATCTTCCATAAGCTACGCGTGGCTCTCACAGGGCCGCCTCACCAGTGTAATGCACACACCTTTCAACTTTCAATCAGGGGCGCAGCGCTCACACGCGGTTAAGGAGGCATCGGTCGCCGATGGACGTGCGGTCCTGTTCCTCCTCCTCCTCCTTTGCTCCTGCAAGGAAGGGGGAGCGGGGAGAGGAGAGGGAGAAGGACGCGTGCGTGAGCGCGCGAGCAGGAGAAGACGAGGGAGGCTCATGAGGACTGTGGCCGGGAGGAAGAGACGGGGACGGGGAGGAGCCCTGCAGCGAGCCCATGCCATGCTGACGACGCTGCAGCCCACTCTCCCGTCTCCAGTTCCCTCCCCACTTGCCCCTCCTCCTCTTCCTCCTCATCTTCCCTCCTCCTCTTCCTCCTCCTCTTCATCTTTTTCCTCCTCCTCTTCATCCCTCCTCCTCCTTCTCCTCCTCCCTAATTGTCCCCCCTCCTCCCTCCTCCTTCTCCTCCTTCTCCTCCTTATCCTCCTCCTCCTCCTCCTCCTCCTCCTCCTCCTCCTCCTCCCTTCTCCATGCAGTTATGCATTTCTTCAGTACGGGGAGAACCCCCTTGAGCGACGAACGCCCCCCGGGCGTGCCATTCGGGCGATGGCCCAGTTTTGCACGCGGTCCACCCTGCACGCTCCGTGCAACTCTAGGCGCTTCGCGTGTCAGTACCGGGCCCACCGATGCCCAGGCGAGCTGCCCGGGTCCGGGGTGTGGAGGAGCATGCCGTGGATTGAGGGGTCGGGGAAGCCGTCATACCCCTAAGAGGGGGAGGATGAAGGAGACATCGGAGCAGGATGAAGATGATGAGGAGGGGGAGGGGGCGAGGAGGAGGAGGAGGAGGTGTAGGAGGGGAAAAGGACGAGGAGGAGGAGGAGGATAAGGAGAAAGAGGAGGAGGAGAGGAGAGAGGAGGAGGAGGAGGAGGAGGAGGAGGAGGAGGAGGAGGAGGAGGAGGAGGCCTCTCGGATGCCTATCGGAATCTCTTTGGATGTCTCCGACAGCAGCTTGCAGTCATCTCGTGGCGTCTTGGGGGCCCATTGGCGGTCCCGGGGTCTCGGAGCGTCTTGGGAGCCTCGGGGGAGCCTTTTGTCGCCTCTTGGGGGTGTGTGGGAGCCTCCTGGGGCCTCCTGGGCGCCTCGTGGGGCCCTCTTGGCCACTCTTGGGGGCCATGGGCGCCACGGCGCCACCTTGGGGCCACCTTGGACGAGTTCGATCTGGAGGAGTTCGGTCAGCCAAGGGGGGGGGGGGGCCCTTCATTGGCATCTCCCTCCAGGAAGCCAGAATTGGCCTACAGTCTAAGGAACATCCGTCATCTGTGCCTTGTCGCCGAGGCCATCTCGGACGTTCCCTTCGGTCGCGCCCCCCCCACCCGTCCAGGTCCAGTGGAGGGGGGCGGGGGGAGGGGTACCGTACATGGACATTAGATTCGAACCTTGTGGCCCAAGATGCCCCCCAGACCCCCCGAAGTTAATATTGATGGCGTGGCGACGGGGGGGGCGTGAGTGGACAGAAATATTCGAACCCCAAAGCACCGCCTTTACTGAGATCAACATTGATGTCGGGGGCGCGGGGGTGGTTTAGACTCTCCCTCGAATGTGTAAGGGTTCGAGTCGATTGTCCATCTACTGTAGCCCTGCCCCCCACCCGAAGGGGAAGAAGGGGGTTGGAAGAGGTAACTGGTTAAACCACTCACGCCCAGAGGGCTGGTGGGATGAGCGGAACGGACAATGTATCTGAGCATGCGTGCCACGTGCTCACTAAGCGACAATCCGACTCTGAAATGAGCCCTTCTTCCAGCCATGTATGCACCTTGCGCATGTTTGTTGTCAGGGTGGTATGTTGGGAGCCAGTGTAAAGCAAGGGCCCCGTTTGGAAACGCGGCTGCCCTCCATCCAACGGGTTCATTCTTCTCGTGCAATCCGCTTCGAGGAAGTTCCACATGATAGCCCGGTTTTGACACGAGGACCGCCCTCCACCCGTGGCACTGCTGCAACTCATCGCGATCGGCTCGATGGCGATGACAACACGTTGAAACACATCTGCTCAATCCCCGCAGTTGTTCCGCACGTGCAAGACGAATGCGTGGGGCGCTCAGGCGAGAGTCGCATGCTAACGCGACCTTGGCGTTATCCACGCAGCCGTTTGATGTGTGTGTGTGTGTGTGTGTGGGAGAGCTCCATCCTGGTACATCATAATCATCATGACACTTCGTGCACTTCATAATCATCATCCTAGCCCTCGGTGCGCTCTACTGACACTTCGGGCGGCGCAACGAGGAGGGGCGAGCTACCAAACAGGATGCGTGATGGAGGCTGAGCAGGAGTCATAGGATGATGGGAAGGAGGTGGATGTGTCGCCGGGCCGTTTGTTCCGATGCGCGGCCTTGCGTCTTGGGGAGGGCGCTGCGGGCACCAGGGCACACGGCGCCTCGAACGCGGTATGTTTGCCGTGTGTTTGCCGCGGTACGGGCTTCGTCTGGTTGGGCGCGTGACGCAGGGTCTGTGTCGGCGTCGTCCATCTGGGGGCGTCGAGCACAAATGGCGCGGTGACTTGTGGATGAGGAGAAGAATGATAGGGGGACGAGGAGGAGGATCACTGACCAAGATTCTAAGCCTGCGAGCTGGCGGACGTCCAGGTCGGTGTATGTTGATGGGTCCTGCCACCACCCCACGGGGACCCTCCTGGCCCATGCGGGGTGGGGGGTAGCCGAGTGTGACGACCAATGGTGTCCCAGGGTACGGCCACTATGATCAGACCGCCTCGATGGGAGAGCACCACGGGCTTCGGATGGCGCTGTACGTGCTGGCGGATTGCTCTGAGCTTCTCTCTGGAGGACAAAGATCTGCGTGGGACGGGCACTCTCCCTTGGGCGAGCGCTGGAGACTGATCAGGAGCATACCCGCTGACTGGCACATCGAGAACCTAGCAGCCCATAGGAGTGAGGAGTCGGCGGTCGACGAGGCCGAGCGCGGTTTCATCAGAGGGAACAGGCGGGCGGACTGGCTTGCATCCAGGGGGTCTCTAGGTAACGGACTAGACCACAGATATTGATAGGGTACTGGATGCCCAGAACTTGTTCAAGGATTTAGCGCTGGCCACGGCCCAGATGTTGGCCTTGTGGCCGCGCGCCCGCGAGTTTTTTTGGTGATCCGGGCAGGATCCCCGGGGCCCCTCGTGTTGTTTCTTCTCGGGTGGTGCGCCACGTTTTCACTTGGGACGGCGTTAGGTGGAGGTGCACTGGTTGCAGTACGCGCTGTCGAGATTCTTCGAAGGCCCGCGGCCAGTGCGCTCCGACTATGCGTGTGTTGTTGGGTGACGATGTATTTAACACCCATCTCTGGTTCGTGGCGAGAGCCGCTAAGCACTGTACGCCCGTCTTGTTTGTGTACAGATGCGGTTCCTACACGTCAGGTGCCACGGCCTCACCTCAGCTGTCAGGCCCCTGCCAGCACTTGAAGCCTAAGCAGCTGGCGATCACCAGGGGAGGCAAGCTCCCCTGGCCAAACGTGGCCTCGATTTGCACGCCCTGGCCCCTTGCTGGGGCGTCGGGTTGGTGGTGGTCTGGCTGTTGTTGTTTTTCTTTGCTCTGCCACTCGGTCATTGGTCGGGGGTTATGCTTGGAGGTTTTTGCTAGAGGAAAAATACAGGGGATGAGGAGGATGGTGGTGGTGGTGGTGGTGAGGAGAAGGAGGAGCAGGAGGAGAAGGAGGAGGAGGCGGAGGGAGAAGAGATGAAGAAGAGGATGAGGATGCGGATCAAATATCAGGAGGAGGAAGTTGAGGAGGAGGACGAGGATGATGAAGAGGGAGGATAAGGAAAGACGGGGGGGATCTGGTGGTGAGGGTGGGGCTGGGCGGGGGGGGGCGGGAGGAGGTGGGGAGGAGAGATGGTGATGATGATGAGGATGAGGGTGATGATGGCGACGGCCACGACGATGACGATGACGATGACGATGACGACGACGATGATGATGATGATGCTGCTGCTGATGATGATGATGATGATGATGATGATGATGATGATGATGCTGGCGATGATGACGACGATGCTTCTGCTGATCATGATGATGATGAGGACGGTGATGATGACGATGATGACGACTATGCTGATTGGCTTGATGATGCTGATGTTGATGATGATGCTGCTGAGGATACCGGTGACGATTCTGATAATGGTAACGATAGCGATGCTGATGATGAAGACGACGATGCTGATGATGCTTTTGATGATCCTGATGATACTGATGATGATGATGATGATGATGATGATGATGATGATGATGATGATGATGATGATGATGATGATGATGAAGAGGATGGTGATGATGGTGATGCTGATGGTGATGACGATGCTGATTATGCTGATGCTTATCTAATAATGATGATGATGGTTGTTGTGGTTGTGGTAGTGTGGTCTCGGTCATGGGCTGTGATGGTGGTCGTGGCGATTTGGATGATGATGATGATGATGATGATGATGATGATGATGATGATGATGATGATGATGATACTGCTGATGATGACGATGGCGACGACGATGGCGATGACGATGATGATGATGCTGATGATGATACTGCTGATGATGCTGACGCTGATGATGCTGACGACGATGCTGCTGATGATGACGACGATGCTGCTGCTGATGATGGATGCTGCTGCTGATGCTGATGCTGCTGCTGATGCTGATGCTGATGATCATGCTGATGATACTGATGCTGCTGATGGTGATGTTGTTGATGATGCTGATGCTGATGATGCTGATGATGATGCTGATGCTGCTGCTGCTGATGATGATGCTGCTGCTGATGCTGATGCTGATGAAGGTGCTGAGGATGATGCTGATGGTGACGATGATGATGAGGCTGTTGAGAATGTTGATTATGATGATGCTGTTGATGATGATGCTGCTGCTGATCACGATGATGATGTTAATGACGATGATGCTTTCGGTGATCGTGATGAGGATGAGTATGGAGGATGATGATAGTGAGGATGAAGAGGACGACGACGACGACCCCCTCCGTCCAGGACAAGTGGTACGACTCGCTGGGGGAATCGTACGACTGCGACTGGTGCCGACGGGGGCACCGGGTCGGAATTCCTCTTTCCTCCTTCCTCCCTCCTCCCTGCTCTTCCTCTTTCCTCCTTCTCTTCTCCCTCGTCTTTATCCTGAGCCTGCAGCCCCACTCACCTTTTTTTTAGATGCGTGGCCACTGGGGCTGGGCGTACCCGGGGGGTGCACCACAAACGGGGGGGTGCCCATCAGGAGGGTGTGCCCTCCTGCTGCTGCTATCGTTCCTCCTCCCTCCTGCTCCTCCCTCCTCCGCGCGCGCGCGGGAGGTGGGCCGGCGCGCAGATCTCAGGAGCGGCCAGGCTGGCGGCCAGCCGCCCCGCAGCTGGCGGCGATGGCTGCCCGCCGCGTGAGGAAGCGGGGAGGACCTCTGTGGGGGAGCGTCGCTTCGTCCTCGCCCTCGTCCTCCCCCGGCATCCTCCTCGGTGTCAGGAAATCACGGTGGAGGGTCTTAGTTTTCGGCCTTTTGGGGGCCGTTGCCGGGCCCAGGGGTCGTCAAATTGATGATCTTGCGAAGCACCCAGCCATACCGTGCTGTGGGTGCGGTTCTCGGTGGAGCTCCCTGTGGGGCCACGAGGCGTGTGAGGGTTTGCCGAAATGGTCGCGGGGACGCATACAGGCCCGCATGCGAAACCTCTCTCCTGGGGGCTTCCGCGGAGCCCCATGTGCGGCCACGAAGCGTGAGAGGGGTGTGCCGACATGGGTACGTAAGAAACGCATGCGGCCCCTCCCCGCCCTGGGGGCTTCCGTGGCTCTACGCGTACGATTTGTGTGAGAATTGCGTCGGTCCCGCAGAATAGTTATCACGAGTCCACTGCAGTGTCGGCGAAGCTTGCTGCAAAGACTGGCACGTCTGTCCTCACTGTGTCTGGCTTATGCCCAAACGCCCGTACAACGACAAGAGTGATTTTCTGGAAGTGCATGCTTAAAGTCATCCAGCAGTCTGCGGCAAGTCCCGCCGCCATGACAGCCCAGCGTTCTGGTTGGCGACTGTTCTAGGGGGCACGGGAGGCCGTGACGTGTGACATCTCGCCTCCAGGCTTGGGAGAACCGTGATGTTGATGATGATGATGATGATGATGACGATGATGATGATGTTGATGCTGATGAGGATGATGATGATGATGATGATGCTGATTATGATGCTGATAGGGATGATGATGATTCTGACCATGGTGATGATGTTGCTGATGCTGATTATGATGATGATGGCGATGCTGATGATGCTGCTGATGATGATATTGGTGTTGATGGTAGTGGTGATGATGATTGTGATGATGAGGATAATGACGGTGACGATGATGATGATGATGATGATGATGATGATGATGAAGATGATGATGATGATGATGATGATGATGATGATGATGATGATGATGATGAGGATGATGATGATGATGATGATGATGATGTTGCTGTTGATGGTGATGCTGCTGCTGCTGATGCTGATGCTGTTGCAGATGCTGATGATGGTGATGATGGTTATCGGGGTGAGGATGCTGATGCTATTGTTGATGATGCTGCTGGTGATGATGATGTTGATGATGCTGCGGCTGATGATGATGCTGATAAGGATGATGATGATGATGATGATGATGATGATGATGATGATGATGGTGATGATGATGATGCTGATGGTTATGATGATGTTGTTGATGCTGCTTGTGATGCTGATGACGATGATGACGGCGACGGCGACAATGATTATGATGATGACTATGACGATTACGCTGCTGCTGCTGCTGCTGCTGCTGCTGATGATGATGATGATGATGATGATGATGATGATGATGGGTGATGCTGATGTTGCTGATGCTGATGTCGATGCTGATGCTGCTGCTGCTGATGTTGATGATGATGCGGATGATGCTGATGACCATGCTGATGGTGATGCTGATGACGATGATGCTGTTGCCGATGATGATGCTGCTGATGATGATGCTGATGATGAGGCTGCTGATGATGATGGTGCTGCTGATGCTGCCGCTGATGATGACGATGACGATGATGCTGCTGCTGATGATGATGCTGCTCATGATGATGATGATGATGGTGACGGAAATTGTGATGTTGATCATAATACGGATGTGATGTTAAAACTCGTTTGGGCCGTATTGGGGCTGTCATGGCTTCCTGTGAGGCAGTCTTGCGGGTCCCTTGGGGCCCTCACGGGCTGTCTTGGGGCCCTCTTGCGCAGGCTCGGGGCCCTCTTTGGCTGTTCCGGGGCCCTCTTGGTCGTATGGTGGGTCACTGGGGACCGTCGTTTGGGCCGTCTTGGCACCGCCTGGTGCCGTCGAAAGGCCTTCTAATGCCGGCTTGGGTCCCGCGGGCCCTCTTGGGCTGTCTTGGGGCCGTCTTGGATGCCTTTTGGGCCATCTTGGAGTCCTCTTGAGCCGTCTTGAGCTGACGGCCGCCCGAAAAGGCGAGAATGGGAGCACCAGAGGATAATCCATGATTTTGGCTTCTTCGGATCCGGTTGGAGGTACTCTTATGCTCTTATGGCCCTTGGGCCGTCTTGAATCCATATTTGGCCGCCTTGCGGCCACCTTAGGCCGTCTTCGAGGTATCTTCTTGGGCCATCTTGGTGTCTTTTGTTGCATGCACGGGCCGTCCTGTAAACTCGGGACGCGTATCCATCGTTTTTAACAAGGGATCGTGGCTTGGGAAGCCCTGGAGCGCTCGGGAGCAGCGCCTGGGAATGCGGGAAGTGCACGCTGCTCGAGCGGGTGCGCGGGGGATGAGGGGTCTACGAGTTAGCAGCCACGCGGGAAGTGCACACTCCTCAAGCGGGCGCGCATGGAGTAAGGGTTCAGGCATTAGCTGCCATGCCAGAAGTGAACCATTCTCGAGTAGGCGCGCATGGAAAGGGGGTTCAGGCTAGCTGCCATGCGGGAAGTGCACCATCCTCGAGCGGGCACGCGTGGAAAGGGGGTTCAGGCATAAGCCACCATGCTGGAAATGCGCCATCCTGAAGCGGTCACGAGGGAAGTGGCCTCGGAAAGGGGCGGTGGTGCACGCAAGACTTTGCTAGTAGAGGGGCGGGGCCGTCCCTTACTAAACGTCAAAATGCCCTACCAGGCAGACCTTGGCATTCTTCCACGCCTCAACGTGCTAGGGTGCACGGTGGCGGATCGTTTATCACTGCCAGTTTGATTCATTTGTAGCAGCTTTCTGACGCCCCATGGCTTCGACAGCATTAAACAAGGCATGGCGGGATCTGCAGGAGAATGTGTTTGTCAATACTTCTGGGTAGCACTGCAAAGGAGCTCAATCGTCTGAGAGAATGAGCGGCAACGGCCGCCCCGCGCAGTCCGCTAGCCGGCCCGCCCCCTTGCAGGGACGACTCGCGCGTCGTTCGTTCGTTCTCTCCGGGGTCGAACCATGTGAGGGGTGTGCCGGCATGGGTAAGAACCGCATGTGACCCCCCCTCTTGGAGGCTTCGGTGGAGCTCCCTGTGGGGCCACGACACGTGTCAGAGATGTACCGAAGGGTAAAAGAACCACATGCGAAACCTCTCTCCTGCGGGCTTCGGTGGTGCCCCCATATGGGGCCACGAAGGTGTGAGGGGTGTGCAAAAGGGTAAAATAACCACATCGGACCCTCCCTCCTGGTGTTTTCTGTGCAAGCCCATATAGGGGCTTGACAGGTGCCAGGGGTGTGCCGAAGCAGAGACATTCGGACGGCTGAGGCAGGGATGGGGAGGAGGGGCGAGGAGGAGGGGCGAGGAGGAGGGGCGAGGAGGAGGGACGAGGAGGAAGAGGAGGAGGAGGAGGAGGAGGAGGAGGAGGAGGAGGAGGAGGAGGAGGAGGACGCGGGGACTGTGTCTTCAACACGAGGGCCCAGTGCCACAGGATGGTTGGGAAAAAGGCTGAAGATGAGAAGCCTATCCTAGGGAATGGGTCGAGACCTCGGTGTCCGCGTGGTGAAATGACATCCTTGTGACAGAAGACCCTAAACAGCTTAGAATACCCTAACCAGCTTTGCACAGTTACGATGGCGGCCACGATGGGGGGTCACGATGCGGGGCCACGATGGGAGGCCATGATGGGGGGTTCGGTCTTGGGAACTGGACAGGGATAGGGATAAGGGAGAGGTGTAGGGTTAGGAAAACAGGGCTAGGGATCTAGGGATATAGGGATGTATGTATAGGGATTGGGAGCGGCATGGGGATGCGGATAGGGATGTAGGGTTGTAGGATAGGGATGATGATAAAAGGAAGGACCTATGGATGGAGGGATATGGCTAGGGATGGGGACGACAATGGGAGGCCACGGGAGGCCACGGGAGGCCACGCGAGGCAACGTGGGGCAATGGGAGGCAATGTCGCCCGCCCGAGTCCAGATGCGGCAGCCCTCCTGGTAGGGCCTCAGACAAAACACATGCAGATCAGCCGTGTAGTCTGGGGCACATCGCGACGTCGGATGTTGGGGTCGTCGCCCCCGCCCTTTCCATGTCTCTCCTCAGGCGGGCGGCCCCGCCAGAGGAGGCGCTCCACCGCGCGCGCTGCAAGCCGTCTGGGGGAGCGATTTCGAGGCCTCCTGGGGCAGAGCTCCGCAGTTCCGAGGCGGGAATTTATGCATGACCAGCGCCTGGAGGATCAATTTTCGGGGACCTCGCAGGTGGTGGATATGGATATATTCGGGCCCACGGGGGCCAACACCTATCCATATCCACCGCCCGCTGGGGCACCAGGACGTCGTTTCCCAGGCTGTGGATATGGCTAAATCCCCGCCTCGCAGCTGTGCTCGCAGGTACGCCACCGACAGCGACGTCTACTGCGGGATCTTCGCCGACGAGACCTCCCACTTCGGCGTGACCGCGAACGAGGCCTGCTGCGTCTGCGGTGGCTCCCCCCGCGGGGCGGGCGACTCGGTGGGAGGCAGATGAGGGAGGAGGAGGAGGAGGAGGAGGAGGAGGAGGAGGAAGAGGAGGAGAGAGGAGCGGAGGAGGAGGAGGAGGAGGAGGAGGAGGAGGAGGGGAGGAGGATAGAGGAGGAGATGAGGCGGAGGAGGCGGAGGATGAGGAGGAGGAGGAGGAGGAGGAGGAGGAGGAGGAGGAGGAGGAGGGGGGTGAGGAGGGGAGGAGAGGAGGAGGAGGAGGAGGAGGAGGCGGAGGAGGCGGGAGTGAGGAGGAGGAGGAGGAGGAGGAGGAGGAGAGGAGGAGGAGGAAGAGGCGGAGGAGGAGAGAGGGAGGAGGAGGAGGAGGAGGAGGAGGAGGAGATGAGGAGGAGGAGGCGGCGGGGGAAGCAGAGGAGAGGAAGGATGGAAGGAGGAGGAGGAGGGGAGAGGAGGAGGGGTGAGGAGGAGGAGGACGGAGGAGGAGGAGGGGAGAGAGAGGCGGAGGAGAGGAGGAGGAGGAGGAGGAGGGTGAGGAGGAGGAGGGAGGTGGAGGAGTGAGGAGAGGAGGAGGGGGAGGAGGAGAGAAGAAGGAGGAGAGGAGAGGAGGAGGAGGAGGAGGGGAGGAGGAGAAGATGGAGGGGAGAGGAGAGGAGGAGGAGGAGGAGGAGGAGGAGGAGGAGCGGAGGAGGAGGAGGTAAGTAGGAGAGGGGAGGAGGAAGGAGGAGGTAGGAGGAGGGAGAGGGCGAGGAGGAGGATAGGAGGAGAGGAGGAGGAGGAGGAGGAGGCGAGGAGGGGAGGAGGAGGAGGAGGAGAGGAGGAGGAGAGAGGAGGAGGAGGAGGAGGAGGAGTAGGAGGAGGAGGAGAAGGAGGACGAGAAGGGAGTCAAGCTAGTTAGCTCGAGCGCACGAGCATGACATGCCCATTCCCACCCGCTCTCACACATCTTAGGACACACTAGGGGAATACGTGGAAGGTGTGAGCCGAACACGTCAGCCGTGCCACGCGGGAGCGCAACCTTCCCAACAATGTGCTCGGCGCCGAGGCGAGAGCGACATTTCGCCACTTCGCGCGGGGTGTGCGCCGCATCCCACTTCTGCCACACATTTTGCAGCGTCGGCGACAGAACGTCCATGCTGATCACAACCCACCAACAACCACCCGAACTTAACCCGAAGGCCCCATTTTGCCCACATTCCCAGTGGAGCGGGGGTCGTCGGAGAACGTTGAAAAACAAGTACAGAACCCGTACCCCCCCCAATCCGAAATTTGGGTAGTCGAATTGGGTTGGGGTGGTCTTGTAGGTAGTCAGTTGGTCAGTTGAGGGGAGGCATTGGCTTTGCATTGTGTTCTCGCTCGTGGGATGGAGGGTCTGGGATTGAGCTCCCATCGGTCGGGGAGGGTGCAGAGTAGACGTATATACCAATGATGGAAAAGGGGTGGGAGGAGGAGGGACAAGGGTAGAGGGATGTGGAGGAGGAGGAGGAGGAGAAGGAGGAAGAGGATGGTAATGCTTACCATGGGTGTGATGGTGGTGATGCTGACAATGCTGATGATGCCGATGATGCATGCTGGCGATGCTGATGATGCTGATGATGATGATGATGATGATGATGATGATGATGATGATGATGATGATGATACTGATGCTGATGCTGAAGGTGATGCTGAAACTGCTGCTGCTGCTGATGACGGTGATAAAGATGCTGCTGTTGGATGATGATGCTGCTGATGCTGATGATGCTGATGCTGCTGATGATGATGCTGGTGGTGATGACGGTGGTGGTGATGATGATGCGGTTGATGATGATGCTGGTGGTGATGATGATGATGCTGATGATGCTGATGATGATGCTGATGATGATAATGCCGCTGATGCTGATGCTGCTGATGATGATTCTGATGCTAATGATGGTGCTGCTGATGATGACGATGCTGATGCTGATGATGGTAATGGTAATGATGATGCTGATGCTGATGACGATGACGATGCTGCTTGGACTTATGATGATGGTAGTGGTAGTGGTGATGATGCTGCTTTCGATGAGGCTGCTGATGATGGTGCTGCATATGAGGATGCTGATGCTGATGATGCTGATGCGGTTGATGTTTATGCTGCTTCAATGGTGCTGATGATGCTGATGATGTTGCTGATGTTGATGAGGAAGATGATGCTGATGCTGGTCATGCTGATGACGATGCTAATGATGATGCTGCTGATGATGCTGATGCTGGTGATGATGCTGATGATGATGATGATGATGATGATGGTGATCACGATGCTGATACTGTGGATTCTGCTGATGATGCTGATGATGCTGACAATGCTGCTGATGATGCTGATGCTGCTGATGATGCTGATGATGAGGTTGATGATGATGATGATGATGATGATGATGATGATGATGATGCCGACGATGCTGATGATGATGATGACGATGACGATGCCGATGACGTCGATGATGATGTTGCTGCTAATGATGATGCTGATGATGATGCTGCTGCTGATGCTGATGATGATGTTGCTGATGATGATGAGACTGATTAGGATGATGCTGATGGTTATGTTGATGCTGATGCTGATGCTGATGCTGCTGCTGCTGATGCTGATGACGAACAATATGATGCTGCTGCTGGTGATGATGATGCTGCTGCTGATGCTTGTGCTGATGCTGATGATGCTGATGATGATGCTGCTGATGATGATGCTGATGATGCTGATGCTGATGATGATGCTGATGATGATGACGATGACGATGACGATGATGGTGACGGTGATGATGATGCGGATGATGCTAATGATGATGATGCTGATGATGCTGATGACGACGACGGTGGCGACGACGACGACGATGATGATGATGATGATGCTGATGATGATGATGATGCTGCTGCTGCAACTGATGATGATGGTGGTGGTGGTGATGATGCTGAAGGTGATGGTGATGGTGATGGTGATGGTGATGATGATGATGATGATGATGATGATGATGATGATGATGATGAGGAGGAGGAGGAGGAGGAGGAGGAGGGGAGGAGGATGAGGAGAGAGGGAGGAGAGCATGAGGTGGGGGAGGGGCAGGTGGAGGAGGAGGAGGATGAGGAGGAGGAGGGGAAGTAGCAGGTGGAGCAGGAGGAGGAGGAGGAGGAGGAGGAGGAGGAGGAGGAGTTGGAGGAGTTGGTGGAGGGTGAGTGGGAGGGGGGGGGAGCAGGAGGTGGAGGAGGAGGAGGAGGAGAACCAGTGTAAACCCAAGATCCATCACCGATGTTGGAATACACCCTCCCTCCAAGATCCCTCTTCATAGGCCCCTACAACGGTTCATTTCCATTGGGGGATCTGCCTCGTTGGAAGACAACCGTTTGAAGACCCGGAAGCATGCCAAAACATTGTTCTCGGGATTCCAACGCCACGGATCAACCTGACTGTTGCGTCTCGACGATCCTGGATCGTGCCAGGTCGCCATTCTTGGGATTTCAACACCGTCAATCAACGACGCGCCTTCAATCCACGAAGATCTTTCAAATGTTAAGAACGAATGCGCGCGACGCTAAGGCGAGAGCCACATTTTGAAAACGGGTTATCCTCAACCCGTGAGGCTCTGACACATTTTTAGAACGAATGTGCGCGGCGCTAAGGCGGGAGATACATATTGAAAACGGTGTATCCTCAATCCGTGAAGCTCTTGACATTCTTTAGAACGAATGTGCGCGGCGCTAAGGCGAGAGCCAAAATTTGAAAACGACCCACCCTCCATCTGTGAAGCTGTTGCCAATTTTTCAGCTTCAGAGCCGAAAACGGTTAGGAAGTCTCAGGCGAAACGCCCAGCCCGCCATAAAAACTGGCCTCGGGGCTGCGACAGGGAGAAGTTATTTTGAAGGAAAAGGAATGGAGGAGGAGGGGGAGGAGGAGGAGGGGGAGGGGGAGGCGGAGGAGGAGGGAGGGGGAGGAGGGAGAGTAGGGAAGCTGGCGGAGGGAGGGGTAGGACGGAGGGGCGTCCTTCCGAGCCCCCTTACCAGGTGGTGGCGTCAGCCACCCGACGACCGTCACGAACACCAGCACCACCCCGTGCACCGACTGGCAGCCGGCCCCAGGGGAGCCCTCCGCGCTCGCCCGCGCCAGCTCTCTCTCTCTCTCTCTCTCTCTCTCTCGGGGGCCCCCAAACGGTGCCGTGACCACACCGCGTGGTGAGTTAGTGGGGATTCGGGGTCACCGCGCGGTTTCGGGGCTCGAGTCGTTCTCCGAGGATGTCTCGAGCGACTGGGGCTTCCGAGGCCCAAGACCGTGTGATGACGGACAGCGCGGTGAGGTCGTTGTGGATTCCGAGGTCACCACGCGGTCCGTTACCCCACGGTTTTGGGGCTCCGAAGTGTCCAGCGCCTCGCCCCTCTCCCCCTCCTCAGGGTCAGTAGCAGAGGGGGCAAGTGGCCCAGCGATCCGCCGAGAAACAGGCACCGATACCGCTGCCATTCCCTCGTCGCCACGGCTGGATTTGCCTGGAAATTCTGGTCAGAGCGCAGCCCCAGAGAGGCCCGAAGGGGTATCGGTATCGGTATGTTTTTGCCCCCCCCCCCCCCAGCGACTGGCCCAGGTGGTGTGTGTGTGTGTGTGTGTGGGAAGCATCGACCCCAACAGTCGCCCACATTCGTTGTGAATCGGGGCCCGAGCCCCCATTGCCCGCCCAGGAAGCGTGCGGCTTGTCATCGGGGGCCGATCTATCGGCGACGCATCGCCGATGCCAGTTCGATGTCTCCCCCCTGAGCCAGCAGTCCACCCACATCAGGGGTGGACCTAAACGGTGTTTTGGCGATTTCGTGGGCCGCTTTCGTTTCGATGTCGTCTTGCAGCGAAGGCGAATTCGAGACGCAACGAGGGAAACCAACCCACAACGAGAACGAGAAACACGGTTTAGGGCCAGCCCTGCCCCGCATCGTTCCCCCCGTTCCCCCCACGCCCTCCTCGGGGGGCGGAGGGGGAGGGGGAGGGGGAGGAGGAGGAGGAGGAGGAGGAGGAGGAGGAGGAGGAGGAGGAGGAGGAGGAGGAGGAGGAGGAGGAGGAGGATGAGGAGGAGGATGAGGAGGATGAGGATGATGATGAGGAGGAGGAGGAGGATGATAAGGATGATGATGATGATGATGATGCTGATGATGATGATGATGATGATGATGATGATGATGATGATGATGATGATGATGATGATGATGATGATGATGATGATGATGATGATGCTGATGATGACATGATGATGATGATGATGATGATGATGATGATGATGATGATGATGATGATGATGATGATGATGATGATGATGATGATGATGATGATGATGATGATGATGATGAGCAGGAGGAGGAGGAGGAGGAGGAGGAGGAGGAGGAGGAGGAGGAGGAGGTTAGTTTAGGTTAGTTTGGTTAGGTTAGGTTAGGTTAGGGGTCGGGCGGACGAAGTCCGCCTGCCGCCGCAGCGGCGAGAAAGGGCCTAGACGCCCTCCAGCGGCCAGGCCCTGGCGGCCTCGGCCTCGCCTGCAGTGCTCCGCCCATTCAACCGCCGAATCGGGCGAGGCGAACCCATGCAGGCGAGCAACTCGCCCCAGGTCCAGTACGGGGACCACGACCACGTACTGCTGGAAGCTGATGGGGGCCTGGGAGCCGCAGTCCGCAGGGCACCCAGGGGGCTCGCCAGCGGGCCCCAGCGAGGGCCCACCCCCAACCGAGGACCCAACACCACCGCCAGCCCCCCCAGCTTCACCTAGAGCCACAAGATGTCCCCTTCCTCGGGGCCTCTAACAAGAGAACGCCGCGGAGGAGGATGGAGGGCCGAGGGGTGGAGGAGCCGACGGAGACGGGACCACTGGGAGCGAAACCCAGGGTGCCTCGGGCCCAGGCAGGCCCCCGCAATGCCCTTCCCAGGCGCCACTCGCTGGGCCAGCGAGGCCCCGCAGGACTTGCAAAACAACAAGCACGGCTGATCGGGACCTCCCACATCACATTTCACCACCGAACGCCCTTGAAACAGCCACGGCCTCCCAGGCACCTTCGCATCCACGCCCCCACATCGATCGGCTCGGGCTCGGGCTCGGGTGGCGGCGGGGCAGGGCGGCGAGCCTCCAGTCTAGCCTCTCGCGGGTCCTGATGGCTGCCTCGAGGACCGCGGCGTCCCGATCTTCAGTATCATACTCTAGGCCAAGGACAACATCCGAGGTGCCTACCACACCCTCAGTGTCCCAGGCCTCGTGGTCTCCTATCCACGCGTGCACAAGGCCTGTCCAAGTGACGAGTTTGGCAGCGATGTCTTCACAAGCTTCCAGGAAGATGACCTTCTGGGGGGGCACCTTCCAGAGCATGGCACGTTTTCGGGGCCCAGCGGTCCGCGAGACAGTTGCCAAGCCCGCACCATGCATCGAAAAAGGAGGCATCTTTAGATGCCGACGAGTGTGCCTTGACTTTTCTCACACTCGCACTTTCTCCGTGCTTCCGCCACCAGCTCTTCCAAAAATGTCTGTTGGGATTCATGAGGCTGAGCGCTTTCGAGGCGTTCCTGGCACAGCCTATGGCCCCAGCGCAGTCTGAAACCCGTTGCTCGCAGGGTCAACCGAGAAACGCGACAGCATGTGGAATGCGTAATCTTTCGTGTCCCTAGAGGACTGCGCCAAAGACCATTCCAAGGGGACGGCACCATATTGTAGTGGCCTTCGGCCAGTGCCGCCGATCCGGGTCGCTCGGGGTTATTCTCCAGACGCAGAAATTATGGGCGCACACTCAAACGCACACACACAGTCACACCACTTAACCTGCGCCGCAGACATGCGCACACAGCATCACCCACACACACATACTAGTTGGGAAACGCTCCTGTAGTACTAGTAGTAGTATTAGTAATAGTAGTAGTAGTAGTAGTAGTAGTAGCAGTAGTAGTAGTAGTAGTAGTAGTAGTAGTAGTGGTAGTAGTAGTAGTAGTAGTGGTTGTGGTAGTAGTGGTAGTAGTAGTAGAGGCCTCGTTCCGCGGCTTCTCTCGACTTCCCGCGGTCTCTCTCAAGTTTCGAGCACGCGGTGAGTTTCACGATTTATGTGTGTGTATGTACGCGTGCATGCATGTATGCATGCATTGATCATGTGTGCCTGTGTGTAGGTACGTATGTATGTATGTATGCTTGTGCGCGTATGTATGTTTTTAGTTTGTATGTATGTTTGTATGTGTGTATGATAATATGTGTGTATGTGTGTGAATGTAAGTATGTATGTCTGGAAGATTGTTTTTCTTTGTATGCAAATGTGTTTAAATGTAGGTATGTATGCATGTGTGTATGGATGTGCGTTTGAAGAGCGAGGATGTTTCAAAGAAGAGGCACTCGGTGACGCGATCGTTGAGGGATAGGAGTGAGGTCGCAGAGGAGGAGGAGGAGAATGAGGACGAGGCGATAACTTGAAGGAAAACGATGAGACGGAGGACATCCTGCCGGTGGCGCCCTGGGCGGTGCCGCGGAAGAAACCGGGGGCCTGCCGGAGGCAGTCTGGAGGCCTCTGGGGAGCTGTTTTGGGGCCTCTTGGAACCTCTTTTGGGCCTCTTGTGGGCTTCTTTGGGCCCCTTGGGGGTCTCTTGGGGCCTCCTGGGGGCCTCTTGGGGCGGAAAGCTCGGTTCTTTCGGTTCGTGGTCCCCCTCTTGGGCCCCTCTTGGGGCTCTCTTGGGGCCTTCTTGGGCTGTCCAGAGGCCCTCTTGGGCCGTCTTGGGGCCCTATTGGGCCGTCTTGGGGCTCTCTTGGGCCGTGTTGGAAGCATCGTGGGCCGTCTTGGGACGGACTTGGGGGCCTCTTGGGCCGTCTTCGAGCGTCGGACGCCCGAAAAGGCAAGAACGCTAAAAACCCAGAGAAAACCAATGAAAATCAACGATTCTGGCCTCTTGGGGCCCTCTTGGGAGGCCTCTTGGAAGCTTCTTGGGGCGTCTTGGAGACACCTTGGGCCGTCTGGAGGCCATCTCGGGCGTCTTGGAGCGATTTTTCGGCGACTCGGGGCCCTCTTGGAACCCCTTGGGGGTCTCTTGGGCCCCCCCCCTCCTCCAAAGCGCCGGAAAAAGCGGAGCGTGGCACCCCCCCCCCCCCCTATCTTCCACTCCCCCGGAGCGGCCCCGGGGTTCGCCGGAAACTCGCACCCCCCCCCCCCCACCCCACCCCCCCACCCCACACCCCCTCTTTTTTTTTGTTTTTTTTTTTTTTTTTTTTTTTTTTTTTTCTTTCTCTTTTTGTTTATTTTTTTTTTTTCTTTTTTCTTTTTTTTTTTTTTTTGTTTTTTTTTTTTTTTTTTCCTTTTGTAGTTTTTGTTTTTTTTTTTTTTTTTTTTTTTTTTGTTTTTTTTTTTTTTTTTTTTTTTTTTTTTTCTTTTTTATTTTATTTTTTTTTTTTTCTTTTTTTTTTTTCATCTTTTTTTTTTTATTTTTTTTTTTTTTTTTTTTTTCTCTTTTATTTTTTTGTTCTTTTTTTGTTTTTTTCTTTTCTCTTGATTTTTTTTTTGTTTTTTGTTCTTTTTTTTTTTCTTTTTTTTGTTTTTTTTTTATTTTTTTGTTTGTCCTTTTTTTTCCCAGGCAGAGAGACACGAGAGCCACCCCGGCGACCCCCCCAGAGGCTGAAGCTCAGCCTCGAGGCTGTAGCTGAGACTCCTTGAAACTCACACGCCGGATCGGCGGATTTTCCACACCTGAACGAGCCATCATCGTTGCAGGTGGTGACAGCCCATCCCGCACGGCGCAGGCCACCATGCTGGGTAAAAAAACGAGGAGCCGTCCACAAAAACCTTTCCCTCGAAAGGCCATCCAGGCACACGCCCCGCGAAGCGGATGTGATCCTCCTCGGGGATGTCACGGTCCTGAAAGACACTCGACGGCGAGGGCAGGAGGCCTCTGGCGAACAATTCTCCGCACTCCTCGCCCTCTCTGAGGGCAATGCGAGCCACCTTGAGCAGCTCTGGTGGGCAAAACCCTCTCCTGAGAAACTCCGTGCTAGGGCAATCGAAACAATGGTGCCAGAGGGTCCCACGGGCCCCACATTTCACGCAAAACGGGTTGGTGGCTTTCCCTTTCGGGTGAAGCCTGCTCTGGCTCCAGTGGGCCCCGCAATTGACATACCGGAAAGCATTGACGTGCCTCTTGGTCCACAGCTCTGAGATTCCCGCCAATGCCAACACCGCAGGCCCCCAGTGGAGCTCTGAAGCCCAAGGAGTCCCAATCCTTCTCAGAGCTGTGGCATCAGAGGCGGCGCAGGCAGAGGCGCGGACCGCCTGGCAGACGGCGCCTGGCGAACAACAAATTCGAGGTCGGTCTCGCGCTGGCGATGGTCGAGCAACAGGTTGTGCCGAGCTAGCTGGCAGCCAGCCCTGGCAAGGCTGGGCGCGGCAGCCTGGCCTGGGTCAGTGCGCCTGTTCCA